GTGTGTGTGTGTGTGTGTGCGTGCGTGCGTGCGTGCGTGCGTGCGTGCGTGCGTGCGTGCGTGCGTGTGTGTGCAGTGCCCTGAGACAACAGTTGTGACTTGGCAGATGGCGCTATATAAATGAACTGAATTGAATTGAATTTGAAAACAAACTAAAAAAGTGGCTTTGGTATAAAATTATTCATAACTCACAAGATGGTTATTGTGTAGATATTGGTTGCAGTTGTGGCTGAGTGGTTAGAGGAATTGTCCTGTAAATTGTGGGTTGTTGGTTCGAATCCACTCTTCATTTATCTCAGCTGTTGTGTCTTTCTTGACCTCAACTGCCTGGTGGTCAAAGGGCTTTGTGGTAATGACTGAATGGCAGCCTCAGTTCTGTCAGTCTGCCCCAGGGCAGCTCTTTTTACAAGGTACCTGACCACCATCAGTGTGTAAATGAATGAATGAATGAATGAATGAATGAATGAATGAATGAATGTCTTATTATTGTGTGATGAGCTTTGGAGTCCTTAAAAAAAGAGCTATACAAGCACTTTCAGGGCATTTAACATTTTCCTGATATTACACACACTGATATTGCAGTGGTAATAAATTCTTAAAATATTGTGGAGCCCTGCTCATGACCAGACAGGCTGGTCGGACAAAAATATGTAAAAATGCCAGATCTTGCTTAGTATAGTGTTTAGTAGAATTATAATTGCTGTTTCAAAATGTCCTGATGCATCTCAGTAACCCAGGTAGAAAAGAAAATGTTAGGTAGGTCCTCTTTTTTTTATTCATGTTCCAGTTTTTAGCTGCACCCACATCTCAGTCAAGTATTCCAGCAGAACTCCCTTAATGTATCAATTACTAGGTTTTATTATTCCCTCAGTCATTAAAATTCATTATCAGGGGGAATCCCTGATACACTTCCTCTAAGTGTTACCTTTCGTGCACTAAATGTTTCTATTTAGGTTAAGTGGTATTTGATGCATCAGTAGAAGACAAAATGCCTGCTCTGGTTTAATGAGTCATTCCACGTTATCTGATTGGCTGGCTTTAAATGAATATTTTATTGCTTTCATGTTGCTGTTTGGTGTGGTGTGCTTGCAAACTAGGTCACTTGGCACAATTGGAGATGCTCTAAGGCCTGACGAGGACGGACATCTTGCATAAGTGTGTGAACGTTTCATGATGCGGCTGCAGAAGTCCTGCTATTGAAACAGATATTTGTTTGTAACACTGCTCCACTCATGTTTCTGCTCGCTCTGAAACTGTTTTCTCTGTAGCTTCATGCATTATAAACCTTTTACATCCAGGGTAGTGATACAAATTTTCTAAAAAAAAATGCAGTCATGCTTAAACGCTGATTGTATAAGAATGGTTCAAGATATCAAAAACCTGAATTATCACATAATAATTGTAAGTTTTGTTTACATTTTGAATGGCCTTTCTAGGCAGAAGTATGCTGAAGTAGTTGAAATTCAAAAAGCAGTACATGTTGAAGGATGTTACAAACTCAAATGTATTTCAGTGGTCAAAATCTGCTAAAAAAGCTTAAAATCTCAAAACGTTTAAAAGATATCAGTATAAAAAGTCAACCCAGACGAAAAAAATATACACTAAAGTATATTTTAAATATACTGCATTTTACAGA